GATAGTTGATAGTTGATAGTTGATAGTTGATAGTTAATAGTTAATAGTTGATAGTTGATATTTGATAGTTAATAGTTAACCGGGCCACAAATTGGCGAGCTTGAAGACGAGGTGTGGCGTAATAGGCATGGAGGGATTGTGTGACCTCGAGTTCATGATCCCTGCCCCATCTCTTCAACCCCACAAACCACAAACCACGACCCTCAACCCTCAGTTCTCTGGCCTCACCCCTCACCTCTCACCCCTCACCCCGCAGCCCTCAACCCTCAGCCCTCAACCCTCAAGTCTCAACCTCTCGGGTCCGGGTGTGTTCACTCAGGGGAAATCATCGGATTGACCTCGGGGCCTCTTCCGGCCGCCTTGACGAGAGTGTATTTGCGGGAATAGAGAATGACGAGTCGATCGGCGCAAAATTGAGAGGACAAAAGAGCGAATGAGGTGAACGGATACCAAACCGTTGGTAGCTCCCCAATGCGTCGAAGGACACACAAACGGATTGAATGTCCCTTTTGGCGTATGGCTCCAGATAAGAGCCCATATGTACACTTGTGCGTCTGTGTGTATGTGTATGTGTGTGTGTGCATACCTGTTGAGCATGTGTGCACTTGCTCACATGGAGGCCAAACTGACTGTAGGTATGTTGTGTGTGTGTATGTGTGTGTGTGTGTATGTGTACGTAGGCGATTACGTTGCAAATGTGTGATTTGTGTGACTGGGCCTGGGCACGGAGGCACAGGTGTTCGCCAGTGTGATACAACCTTGGCTTGAGGTATGCAGGGACGAACTCGACCCGATCGTTTCCGTTCTCCTCATGTACACACCTGCACTACCTTTCTTGGCCAGTGATCCGGCGAGTCCTGCTGCGAAAGATGGCCCCAGTGGGGGTCATATTTGATAGAAAAGTGATGAGCTCTACGAACAGGGAATAGGAGTCGGACGAGGGCGTAAGAAATTATGAAACACAGTGGCCGGAAGACTTGAGGCAAAGAAGGGAGAGTAGTTATGGCGTAATCAAATAGAATGAGATCACAGTACAGAAAGACCGAGGTCTCGCTTCATGGACGGATAGACAATAAGGCAAGTAAGCAAGAGGGGAGAAAAAGATTAGGCTGGAAGCAAAGCTGCGATTAGCGCAAATGAAAAATGGCAAATGTATATAGCTAGACGGAGTGGTACATGCACCGTGAGAGAGGCGATTGAATTGTTAGATGATTAAGTGATGGATGGAGTTTAAGAGAGAAATGCAAATACAAATGGAGGGTTCCGTGAGTAAAAGCACATTTGGGAAATATGGCCCAAGTTACAAATGAAAAATATTAAAACAAATTTCTGTAGATAAACTAGATTGATGGATGGATAGTTGAACAGATTTAAGAAAAGGTGAAGAGTTGATTGAATTGATAATTTGG